ACGGTCGTAGGTAAAAAAATAAAGTGGAATTCTAAAACGAAAACCTTTAAAGCAGGGTTATGCAAGACTTAAAGTGAAAGTACATAACGTCCATTGCGTCACCGTCACAGTCAGTTGTCAAAAAAGTTAAATCGGTGTATTTAGATGAAGTAAGTTACATGCACAAAGCTGACGGTGACGGTGAGGCACAAACTAGCTCAACTTTTAACTTTGCTTATCCGTTAGCTTCAAGTGACAACTATTCTGTGTTTTGTTTACATATTTGAACTTAAATTTTTTCAGTTTGTGAAAATTTTTGGATTTATTGAAATAAGAAATGAAAAATATGATGAAAGAAAAGTACAGCGCAATTTTTGCAAAGAGCAGCAGCGAGTTTCTTTCTGATTTTTTCTTTGATAGTGTGTAATTTGCCGCATAAGCACCGTTGACGCTGACATTGTTTACTTTCGCTTTTAGACTTGACTTGACTTACCTAGAAACTAGGAAACGATTACTCTCTGTGTCATCTATTGCATTTATTCCTTTGTTTTATCCTCAGAATTTATATTTGTGGACTCAAAATTTTAACCATTTATTTTGATTGGGGTAAAATTTGATAAAAATTACAATTGAAATAAATTTATTCAAGCGTATCAAATTGTGATTGTTTTTATTTTATTTTTTGTCATTATTTGAAAGTTTGTTTTTTGATTGCCATATGAATTGCATTTATACAAAAAATTATGATTGCGTGGCATGTTTAGAGGAATTTAATTAAAAATATGTGAAAAAAATTATGTGGCAGCATAATTCTCTCACGGATCTCTTAGCACTTAGAAATATAATTTATAAATCAAAAATCTATAGTTCTCCCAGTTGCCAGATATACAATTTTCAAGTCAAGTCAAGTCTAAAGCTGGGATCCCACGATTGCCGCAATACACCAATTATTGCCTCATTTTATGCCCCAATCGTGTGATTTCACAATACATTGACTCATGCGGCAATAGAGGCCGATATTGTGCTTACTGTGCCCAATGAAATACGGCCCGTGTGCGGCAATCGTGTGATAGCTCGATTGGCAATCATGGGGCAATGAAAATTTCAAAATTGCGGCAATACTTATTGTATTCTTGTGCGGCAATTGAAGTGAACAATACACATCAATATTTAGGCTGTTTATTAATAATTTACTTTTTTGCTTCCTTATGTGTCCAAAAATCACTGAAATTAATATCCTTGTTTTCGGAAGCAACATAACTTTTAATTTAATTTGTATTGAAATTATAATTTTTCTTGAAGTCCGATGACGGAATCTTTGCCGCGATATATACCACCACAAGCAAAACTCATACGAGAAGAATACGAAAGGTATTTTATGTCACCAAATGGCGAACTGCTATGACAGTATAAATTTATTTAAAAAAAAAAAAACTTAAAAGTTCAATACAGCCCACGACAAAGCAGTAGAACCTCAACATTTTGACCAGTCTTGAATATTTTTCTTCTACTTATTTAATCTTTATTATTCGTATAAAAGTCTAGCTCATTGTCTAACAAAAACTGCATAAATCCAAGCAAGCAAGCTTTATACAAAAATTATAAAAATTTCTTAAACTTTTGAACACAATCCCACGGTTTTCAAATTGGATTTCTAGAAAAAAAATGGTTATTTAGTTTTGTAGCTCTTTAAAATTTAGTACAAAAAGGTGGAAGTGAGAAGTTGCTAAAAGATCCTGTTGATTTTCAGAATATTTTTAGCTGACGGTATTATGCACTTTCTTCTCTGTAAATTACTTTGTAAACTGCATAACAAAATTTTTTCTAGAAACCCAAATTAAGAACCATTGAATTGTGATCAAAATTTTAAGAAATGTTTATAATTTTTGTATAAAGTTTGAAATTTGTGGTGTTTACTAGACAATGAGCTATGGTTTTATAGGAAAAAATTAACATTAAACAACAGAAGAAAAAAGTCAAGACTGATCAAAATGTTAAGGTGCTATCTTTTGTTGCGAGCTGTACATATAATTATAAAATTTCATTCCAAACATAAATTATGTAAATTCGCAGCTTTCATTTAAACAAACATAACTATTTTGTACCAATTTTACTTGTAATGAATAAAAAAACCTCTACGTAACAAAATTAAAAAGAAAGCTGTTGCAACTTGAACTCCACATAGCACGTTGCAGTTATCGTCGAAAAATAAAAAAACTATACACTCAAACTTCTAAATAAATGCGTGAGTTTTCATTGGACACAAGTTTTTGCTTCTTTGCTTTCAAACAACAAGAAATTTGCACAAAATGAGCCCGCAATATACAAAGCAGATGCAACTGATTTATTTTTTTTTTATTAAGAATACGCCATTTTTACACAACAGAGAAAAAAACGGAATTTAGAAGCCAGCGCAACACTTTATGGTCACAATTGCCGCATGCTCGAACAATCGTGTGATAAGTTTGGGGCAATTATTGTCACTATATTGCTTTTCGCCAACTTACGGCAATGAGAATTGTTTAAAAAGAGGCAACCGTGTGACTGTACAGAATTTCATTGGGACAATTTTTTTATTGTGCTCCAATACAGCACAATAAAAATTGTTCCAGATTGGTCCATTTGCGGCAATCGTGGGATCTCAGCTTAAGTCTTGCATAACTGAACTTTTAATTGTTTTGTTAACAAAGTAACGAGAGTATTTACCTGCTCAAATTTAGACACTCGCAGCAAGATCGGTAGGGTTTCTATCGTACTATCGTTCCATAGTCTTTGGAGTCTAAGTGCGAGCGAAACCGAACTTTTTATACCCAGCCTAATTTTATGCATTAATTTACAGTTTTTGCATATTTCCAGTATACCGGTTATCCTATACCACCCCTTGGCACAATAGACCTACCGGTCGCAGTGCTATAACTTACTGTCTATCTATCTAGACCACCCCTTCTAAATTAAGGAAAATGTTTTTATTGAAAAACGCAAAATAGGTGCATTCTTTTGCAACCGAGTTACACTCCCTTAAATGACGAAATACGTGCAAATCAACCACACAAACTCGGCTATTTATCCGAGTCCAGTAAGGTCGGTTAAAAAATACGCGACCGTAAGGGTAGTGTTGGTAAATGAAAAAAATGCAGCTAATATAAAATACCAAAACGGACGCCCCATCTCTTGGTCGTATTACCGACTTCCGGTTTCGACCGAACCGACAGGAAGTCCGATCCAACAATCCGGAAGTGCGTTCGTTAGCATGAAACATACATGAGCCCTCATCGATTTGCCAACAGTTAGCGTGTGGCGAAACGAACGAACCCAATGAGGTACTACAACCAAACTCGCTATCGTCCATCCTTCCTAGCAAAATTTGTTGTTGCTAACTTTTGTTGAAACTTTGGCAGAATCCTAGTCTGTGGTAGAAGTATGCAACAAGCCCCATTAAAAATGATGAAATTCCGGTCTTTTTAACCGGACTTCCAGTCTGTGTAATGCACTTCCGGTTGTGATCGGAAGTCGGTAACATACCGAAATATTGATCGTTCCCGACTTGATAATTCAGATTTTTGCGTTTTCCATTAAAAACATTTTCCTCCATCAAAAGTGGGAGGTGGGTGTGGCTATTGTCTGATTTTCAAAATTTTCGTAGAGATTGCCGAATAGGTTGGGAAGATGTACACTTTTTATTATAAGTAGGCTGTACTACGCCCATTTTCTACTTCCTTTGTAAATTTTGTGGGGAATTTAGGCCCCGTAGCTACCAAAAAATATAGCAGGTTCTAAATTTTTCAAAAATATCGTTTATGGAAGGTAGGCGTGGTTTAAGTCCGTTTTCGCTCATTTTCAATACCAACATACCTGGGATCAATAAAAACCCAGACAGGCTTGAGTTGTCGTATATACAGAGGGACGCACGGAAGGCCAACTGGCATGGCTCAATCGATTTCTCTATTCATTCAGTGCATTTTGTGATATATATGTAAATATAAAACTTTTTCGACTCCTTTATAATGTTACAAATAACCGATGTGTAAGAGTAAAAAAATTGCAAAGTCTAGATCACTGTACAACATCGCTTTACTTGCAACTATTTTAAGCGATTTGGATATGTATGTAACTATACATATGGTCATATTTACCTACATACTATGCACTTATATGCCATTATGTATGCACAAGAGTTCGTGTCTCTGACCTGCGGTCTCACGGGATGCAATGGAACTGTGCCAATGGACCGTCGCCATCATCTGCTGCCGCAATTGCAGGGAGGCAACAACGCATCTATCGTACTACGTGCCGCATGTGTGTGTGTGTGACTGACTGCCTTTTCGCCGCAAAGTTAAGCAAGCCAAATTGCATAGCTGCTGCATTGACAGAAACGGCAGCAGTGACAACAACAACAACAACAACAACAACATTAGCATCAGTGCCAACAACAGCACTAATGAACGCGACTATGTAGGGTTCATTACAAGAATTTTTGGTAAAAAAAAATTCAAAAAAAATAATTAAATAAATAGTACCAAAAAAAAATTTACTAAACGGAGAGTAATTTTGTGCATGCTTGTCAATGTAAATGTGTGGCTGCATGTGTATGCGGCAGTAAGTGCAGCAGCAATGGCGGCTTCCCAAAATACGGTTCAAATGTCGTCGACCGGCACACGCGAGACCGTCAGTTGGTAGGTTAGTTAGCCGGTCTGTCGGTTGATTGGTTGGTGGTTGGTCGCTTGGTCGGTCGTTTTGCTCCGGAAAAGTAGAGCACACACACATATTTTGGTACACACACATACAGGCACACATTATATAGCGCTCATATATTTTGCCAGAGCAGATTCACAAAAGTACACCAACGACCAACAGCAAACACTGCATCACACCACGATATAAACCGGCTGCTCCTCTTGCACTATTTCTGCACAATTTCTTTGGCGGTGTTGCAGTTTTCCAGCTCCCCTTTTGCACACTGCGCGTTTGAACGGATTTCGCTACGATTGCACTTCGAAGATTTTTTTATTGCATTTTTTTACCACATTTTACGTTTAGAAGTGAAATGTGCGAAGGGATGGCACGCGTTACCGCCCAAATGTATGCAACGCTGAAATAAGATCTGCACTTGAGGTTTACTACATACATATACATATGTACATACACGTACACATGCACTATCTGCACTTCGTTTTAGGTTGTTGCGGTTTTTTTGTTTGTATTTTTTATTCGCCTTTTTGGGGCGTTCGTTGCTTTTTGGGCGGCTACTTTTAGTCAAATTTATGGACTTTCATTTTTCAGCGCCACTTAAGTTGCTTTGCTCCATTTTAGGTTTGGAGTCGCGGTTGTATTAGAAATACTTTGTGAACAGCAATTTCGTTGGGAACGGTTGAATCGGTTACTAATACTTATATTTCAGATATAGAATAGATTATTATACATTCTAGTAAAACTTCAAAAAAAAAAATTTCTTTGTATTTACTATTGTATATACTTAGTTATAACTAAATACATACATATTTCAAACACCAATTTTTTTTTAAATTCACTGTTAAGCTTTTTATTTAAAAATCTGGTAGTTTTTAACAACAGAATTAACGTTTTTTTTTATTTTTCTTCAAATTGCACTCTTCAAAATCAAATAGCCGTTAAGTTACTGACATGCAATAGATAGTAAGTAGTAGTTGTATATATGTATCCAATGAAAGTTGCTATAGTAATGGAATTAGTAGTAGATTAGCGAAATATATAGTAGATGGTATGTATGCGGTTTGTATTATTGGTGTCAAATATATTTGCAAGAATCCACTTAAAACAAAAAAAAACACACACACAGTTTAAAAAATTGTTGTAACAGCTGCCGTTCCTCTACTAAGTAGCGGCCAGCAGTGGCATGGTGTAGTAGGGAAAAATGTTTTGTAGTAGCTGCTTGTGTCCACTGGCACAGCACAGGTTTGGAAATGAGTTCACGCGCTTTTAAAAAGCCCAACCGAACTTGTGCGTACGAGTTGCTATTCACGACTGTCGCCACAATTGCTACGGGAGTGCGAATAAGCAATCCAAAAGACGCGACAGGATACGGCGAGTTGTTGGTCGCTACCCGAACTCTCCCGACAGGCTTTGAAGCTACGATGCTCGTGTGAAAGTCGCCGTGAAGTGCTCTGCACTCACAACAAGCAGACCGGACGGAGGTAGACGAACTGTATATGTGGGCAAACAACATTGCGAAATTGCAAAAAAATATATATAAAGGATTGATTAAATATACATTTAAAACACATACTATATATAAGCATGCTTGTATACATATGTACGTATGTAGCCTTACAGACTATTTACTTTGTTTATTGCTCTAAGCAAACCGTTTTTCATTTTTTTTGTTTAAATATAACGCTTTTCAAACTTTCGCTGCGTTTCTGTTACACATTTAAACTGTGCCAACTCAAATTTCTATTGCCTCTATCTACATATGTATGTATATATCTTCCTCTCTCGTTCTTCAATTTGCTCTTACGGTAGGTAGACTTTCGCTCTGTTTGTTATTTTCCGATTTGCTCCCAATTAGGTCAATGCAATTTTGATCTCCCGAACAGAGTTACCAAATAAAGAAAAAATATAAGAAATTATGCCGAAATAATTTTAGTTAGCTTTGAATGCAAAAGAACATGGCCTCCATTTGGGCCTACCGGAAGCTAATGGCGAGAAGTTCGAGCATCCGATCCAGTGGCGTAGCCACGGGGGGGCCTTGTGGGGATATATTGCCCCTTCGTCAATAAACCACTATCTTTTTACTTTTTATTTAATAACACAATACAGGAATAAGCGGTTCTTCAGAAAGCAAATAACAACAAGCATCTCTGCACACTCAGCCACTGGCGTTCTGTAAATTTATCCTCAAGTGTCGAACTCGAATAAATTTTCTTCGTCGTTTTATTTGGTTCTGCACTTCACAGATGCTTTTTCCTAATTAATAAAAACTAAAAACCGAAAAAAAATATGTATACCGCTGACAGCATTCGTACTACCGGAAGCCAACAAATAACAGCAAGCACCTCTGCACGTTCAGCCACTGACATACATACGAATTTGTTCTCAAATGTTCAACTTGAATCACATTTCTAACAATCGGCTTATTAACCATGAAAAAATCAAACCATAACTTGGTTGACAAAAAAACATTGTGCTTTTGGCTCAGTGCGTGAATTGCATTCTTATAAGAATTTTAGTGTACAAAATCGGTTTATAAAATATTTAAATATTTTATGAAGCACCTTGAATAGAGTCTTTGGACTGACACTGACTAAGCGTTTCATGAGTAATGTCATACGAAACGGAAATATTTTAGGAAAAGAAAAGTCAATTGAATAGTAATTTCAGGAATTTGTCTAATTTTGCGATACTAATGCTAATTCCTTTATCATAAATATCCAAGTCCAAAAAAGACTACGTGAAGAGCATTGAATAGAGTATTTCGTCTTTCATTACACAGGCTTGAGAAATTTAACTTTATTTTTCTTTTTCAAATAACACTGGATCACAAATTTTAGTTTGGTTTTTGTTCTCCAGATGACAGTATACAATTTCTATGTAGAATTGCTCGGTGATTCCGAAAATCGAGTAAATTTTTTTTTTTGTTCTATGGATATGTTTTCGAATAATTGCAATTTACCGTTATTCAGCATAAAACAAAAAGTAATTCCACTTCATTACGTATATCTTAAAAACCAATTTAACAATCTTAAAAGGTGATCGGTCAAACCAAAGCTAATAAAATTCTTCATAAACCATATATATATCACTTTCCGATAGGACTGATAGTTTCTGACAAATTAATTAATCATTCCAGTTTTTTTATTATTTTTTTTTTGTGAAAAAATAAATAAATCAAACTTTAACAGAATAAAAATTTAAAAAATAACAGGTTCTGTGCCAAATTTTTGCATTAGAATCATCTGAGTTTAGTTTAATTCGTTTTCAAAGAACGTATTTTTAAATAGCTAAATAAAGATTGTGAATTTGACAGGAATACGCAATTACGTATGTATTGAAAAAATCACATTTCCAGATGCAAATACCAGGGACCAACAAAAATAACTGTTATCTCAAATTTGCAATTTGAAAACGTTGCCCGAATTCTGAAATTTGACGAAAACGTTATTTCATAACAGTTATTAAACGAGACATTTTTTTTTCCGTTGCCGATAAAAGTAATTTCCCAACGTTTATTTTTACGTTGCTTGATAACAGTTATTGCCCGACGTTTATTTTTTACGTTGCTTGATAACAATTATTGCCCGATGTTTATTTTTACGTTGTCGGATAAGAGTTATTTCACTCTCTCACCTTTACTTCATCATCTTTATCTTGTTCTCCATCTCCATCTTCATCAATATCCTAATATTACAACGTTGGGAAATAACTCTTATCGGCAACGGAAAAAATATTTCTCTGACATAACAGTTATCAGGCAACGTATAAAAATAAACGTTGGGTTATAACTCTTATCGACGAAATAAAAAAATATTTCTCATCTAATAACTGTTATGCAGCAACGTTTTTGCGATAATACTTATAACTGTTATGTCCCTGGCAAATATGTATGTACATATCGTGTAAAAACGCCTTTAGGTGTACGTGGCGTATGAGTAACTTTCTTTCCTGCTCATTTTTCATACAAAAAATTGTTGCGTATTTTCATTTGACCACTCATTATTTCTTATTTATCCATCGATTTTCTTCATTAGTAATTTGTTTTTTTTTTTTTTGTAACAACAGTCTTTAGCAAAAATGCAAAAATTTGGTACAGAACCTGTTATTTAAAAATTAAAAAAGCGGGAATGACTAATTAATTTTTCAGAAACTATCGGAAAGTGTTGTATATACGGTTTATGGCTGAAAACCAGTGCAATTATATTATTTTTTTATAACTAGGTTTGTTAGTTTAAAATGCAGCCTTGTTTTCTAGCACATCAAGATTTATTTTCATTGACAACATTCATATTTTGGAATTGTTAAAAATTTTCATGAATAGCCAAAAATTAATCAAACTAAAATGCCTGACTTAGCCATACCGGATTAACTTGGTTTGTGTGCACAGGGAAATTCCAGCATAACTTAATTAATCACCAAACCTACTTGATCAAATTAAGAGCTAATGATTAAAAATTAGTTTTTTAATCGCGGTTACGATTAACTGTTTAGTCAGATTAAAATTAATCATGATTAACTGTGATCAGACTGAATTTAATCGAATTAACTAACTGATTAAAACATCAATCGATTAACTCCAACATTGATTTCACATACATATCACTATACCAAGTTTCAGTTCTCCCCCACAAATACTTCCAGAGATATGTATGTAATATGAAAATTCCAATTTGTATGGAAGGGGCCTTGAGTTACCGGACTTACTTTCAGTTTAAGACCATCCTTCCGAAATCCGTAGTAAGCGTACTAAATTTCGTTCTGATCGGAAAACCGGCTAAGGAAGTGGCCTATTTTTCAATCCAGGTCATAAACCATCTTTGAGTAAAATTTCATTTTCAAACAGCTGGCAATTCTTAAAAAAGTAGCCTATTTTCCAGTCTAGGTCATAAGCTATCTGTGTGCAAACTTTCCTGCAAATCAGTTCCGTCATTTACGCGTATTAATTTAATTAACCTTTCCTAATACGTGATAACTCTTAAAATAGTAGCCTATTTTCCAACGTAGGTCATAAGCTACCTCTGAGCGAAATGGCATGCAAATCTGTTCAGTTGTTTCCGCGTATTAGTTTAATTAAAACTTTTTTAACAGGAGGCAAGTCTTCCAAAAAATTACTCACTGTAGGTCATAAGCTATCTGCTTGCAAAATTTCATGCAAATCCATTCAGTCGTTTCCGCGTATTAATTTAATGAAACTTTTTTAACAGGTGGCACCTCTTAAGAACTATTTTCCAATCTAGGTCATATCCTATCTGTTTGAAAATTTTCATGCAAATCCAATTAGTCGTTCCCGCATACTAAATAAATTAAACTTTTAACCAGGTGGCAACTCTTAAAGAAATAGCCTATTAACCAATCTGGGCCATAAGCTATCTGCGTACAAAACTTCATGCAAATCCGTTAAGTCGTTTCCGCGTGATGATTTCCCAAACATCCAAACATACAAACTTTCACATTTATAATATTAGTAAGATTATTTAAAAATATATGCCACTAGATCCGCACCATTCGTTCGATTTTCAAAAATGAGTTGGCAAATGAAGAGACTGAGGCTGCAGATGCTCAATAAGGTTTTACTTTTTCGAAAAGCGTTGCCACCGGTTAAGAAATTAAGCTCTAATTATTTAAAAAATTAAATCGATTGTTACAATAGATATGGCTTTAGGAGGCTTTACTTCAAGACTACGTGTAGGA